ACAGTGTTTCAATAAATCTGCCGCTTTTGGTCTATAATTTCGCTAGACCAGACAGTGATTGCTCTGAAGAACATTCTCTATGATTCTTTGCGCTAATGGGTTCTCGTTCAATTCACAGGGGAATTGCCTTACCACTGTAGACTAGAATCCCATGCTAGTAGCCATCACTGCAGTAGATCCGTTTTTGGACCAATTGGAAACCGCATGCGGCGACCAGTAGTTCCTTCTAGTCGATGCTGAGTACGCCGCTTGGCAATAGTGGTTTAAGTAGTGCACTTCATATACCCCTAGTCCTAACGTTTTGTCATACGGAAACGGTGGTTATAGGGGTTTCGTGGGTGGGGGATAGGGGTATGCAGTGGGCTATACCTTCATAATTGCTATATGCGTTTTTATTTTATTGCATTTAGAAATGTTTTTGATTTATATCTGTTGGTTTTCCTAATCTGTATTATCGTTTAACGTATTGCGGAAAACCGATTATCAAAATGCAGTTTTCTGGAAATTCCTGAAAAAATGGAAATGATGGTTAGGAGATCGCCTACTTCAACTTACCTGAGGTCCAACCTACCGTTCTGGAGTTACATTAGTATAGTCCGCGGCGACAAGCGCCGCGCACACCTTCAAGTTACATGCGCAACAACTTACTCCCAGCGGCCGCGGGTAACAATTCCAACTACATTTTCCCACGTTACACTTACTTGTACAGATTTTGTCAACTGCCTATCCTATTTTCCCACTCCAACACTCCTATAACCATCGTCTCCGTAAGACAAAATGCTGGACTAGGGCAATATGAGGTGCACTACTTAACCTACCTTTGCCCACCGCTTTCCTATAAAATTCCAGCGATCAATATTTCTCTTGACTGTCGCTCTCAACTCCTCAGTCCACCCCCGTTTATTATTTGTGCATTTAGATTTCGAGGCTATATTTATCACCGCTCTCTTTTTGCACAAATATAATTTGTAGACTTACGTACCATGTCGGAGCGTCTGAAGAACCGCTACTACGTGCAAAAGGAACTCTTTATTGCCGACATGCGTCGCATGTTCCATAACTGCCGCACCTA